TTCGAAGAGGCACCACTCTCCACACACAACATCAGCTCATCGGGTACCATAGATAACTTTGCCAAAGATCTCTGACAAAGTTTAGACACATAAATTTTGAAGGTCCAGCTACCCTACTATTACCAACAAGGGTAAAGGAACAGCACTACTGCTTGATAACTGGAAAGTCCCTATGTGTGTCAACCTCCCTGCTCCGTGGCAAAGCAGGCTGGCAAAAATGCCCAACCTTTACTCACATCAAGAAAACACTCCCAACAGGATTACTTTCTCAAAAATCGAAGAGGCATCGCTCCCCGAATCTCAAGAGCCAGACTCTCACCAAGATTGCTTTCTTAAAAATCGAAGAGGCACCGATATCCGAATCTCGAGAGCCAGACTCCCACCAGGATTGCTTTCTCAAAAATCTAAGAGGCACCGTTCTCTGAATCTCGAGAGCCAGATCCCCGATAGGATTGCTTGTTCGAAAACCAACAAGGTACCGCTCTCTGAACATCGAGAGCCAGATTTCCTTGGATAAAGCTTGTCCACAATCTTCACACACAACATCAGCTTTCCAGATACCACATACCACTTTTTCAAAGTGCTCTGACAAAGTTAAAACATGTGAATCTTGCAGCTCCCACTACATTGCTATGACCGAGAAGGGTAAAGGAACAACGTTACCACTCGCTATTGGGACAATTCTTATATATGTTGACCTTCATCCTCCACATCCAGGCAGACCTGCAAATAAAAAAAATGCTCAACTTTTCTTCACATCCGAGATGGCACTTTAAGCAAAGTCTCTCGAAATACTCAACTTTTTTCCCCCCGATAATACCTTTGCAAACAAGCCACACTAGAGCAAGAGTATCTCATATCATCAGGGTTAAAAGCAAGAGTATCCCATATCATCAGGGTTAAAAGCAAGAGTATCCCATATCATGCTTTTTCCCTGTCTTTTCCTTCGCCCTTGCTCTTACCTACAGGACAAGGAGAAAAAACGCAATCAGTCGAAACCTGAAATCAAACTTCCGATATGGAACTAATTGCCCGGAAACTTTGCATGGTTGTTTGCCTAAAATTGCTCTCAAGTACTCATCCTTAACTGTTGTCAAGGTCACGAAGTCTTTTGGTAAATACCTCAGAACAGTTGATACGATATTGACGCTTTACATTGAAGCTGCCACACATGGATGAGTCGTTGAGAAGTAGTGCTCTGAAGGACCATTTAAATGCAAATGTTGCATTCCACTCCTGCATCGGGGACAAATGTTGTAAGAGATTAAAGCAGAAGGATCAATGATGAGCTGGAACATATCACTACAGCACGATGCCCTTCCTGCAGAACCACATAACCCAGACAAAGGAGTCTAAATAAAATCCAAACCCAACATCGTTTCCCTATCCAAAGAACTCGAGAAGCTTCAACAACCTTTCGTTAACACCATCGCCAAAGAGCAAAGCTTCGCCATACCACACCCATTACTTTGTCGACAGCAAAAGTATCTCATATCATTAGGGTCGAACGTACTCTAGATTTGATGGACTTGTTTTGACCCTCAAATTCTTGAGTCAGCCTTATACTCTGGAGGAAACCAGAAAACCCCCCAGCCCAGTTCAAGAATAAGCTTGTGGAAATTTACTTCTTCAAAAGCAAAAGTATCTCATATCATCTCTTCTCCATTTGCTTCTCATTATCCTTGTTGCTGTTTACGACACAATGAGAATGAGAAAAATGAACCGGAAGCCGAAGTCGAACCTCCAATCCAGGTTGCTTGCTTGGAAGTCTGATTACTTACCTTGTCTGTTACCTTCTACGGTAAATCTCCTTGCTCGGCGACTTGGGAGACTCCTACTACATGGTTTGAATCACGCTTGACCAAGCCTGAAACTACAAGTAGGCTTCAAGTGAAATTGATACATTACCTTGTGCATCTCCACCGATTAAAGATACCACCCATGGATAAAGGAATAGTACTTCCAGAGAAGATGCCACATCTACCTATGAGACAGATAAGGCAAGTGAAGACGATACCACACTTAGATACTTAGAAGTTTCGTAATTACTCAGCAACTTAGATCTTGCAAGTCCCCAACCGAGGAGCTTCCCTCACTCGGGAACTTAGGGGAGCATTGTTTGTACCATACTCGACCAATCCCGAAACTACCAAGCATCGGTCAACATTATACCATCAAGGACCCAAAAGAGTTTCCCTCCAACCAGGAGGCCAATCACAGCACGACATGTATCGACATCAGAAGTCAATCATAGCGCGACACGTGTCGACATCGAAAGCCAATCACAACACAACAAAGGTCAATGTCAAAACAAAGCTAGAAACTCTCTTTTGTAAAATGAGATCACTCTCCCACAATATTTCCTAATGTCATTTGTACTAAATTATTCACTTGTACTCGCTAAAGGAGAGCTTGAACCTATGTACTTGTGTAAACTCTTCACAATTAATGAGAACTCCTCTACTCCGTGGACATAGCTAATCTGGGTGAACCACGTACATCTTGTGTTTGCTTCCCTATCCCTATCCATTTACATACTTATCCACACTAGTAACCGGAGCAATCTAGCGAAAGTCACAAATTTAACACTTTATGTTATACCAAAGTCCTCACTGATTTTGTGCATCAACAATCTTCATACTTTATTCGCCTTAGCTCGTCACTAGTATTTCCCCTTCCAGCCCGCATAGACATTCTCATCTTTTTTTTTATCTATGGAAAAAAACAAAATTTCATAATCAAATTAAGTATTTTATAATCATCCAATAAATTTATTCAAAAATAAATAAAACTTTTAAATCTACATAAAAAATGGTATTAGCTTTTCGACATCCTTCTCCCTCACATCCCTTAATTGAAGCAGCAACAGAATCGGCCATTGTACAGACAAATAAAAAAATAATTGGGATATAAGGGGTTTTGGGAAGAAGAAAACGATGGGAACTTGAGGGTACTGGGGATGAGTATGAGAGGAAAATAGAGAGTGAATCTGTTTTATAAAACCCGTAGGAATTTTTTACTAAAGATTCATCGCCCAAGGATTATAGTAATTACTTAGCCTTAAATGACTCACTAACCATTTCATACTTTGCGCAATGCAAGATTCATCGCGCAAGATTTTGTTGGGAAAAAATTTGTCACGCGAGAATTTGGCTCCAAATATCCCTCTACCCACATTTTTTTTCTCAACCTTTCGCGACAAACATTTGCTTTCACGTAGAAATATTTCTTGCGTGATGAAAGGCTTCATTGCGTAATGTTTTTGATAATTTTTTTGGTCAAGACGTTTTTGAGTGACGATACCCTAATTTCATGTGTTGCGTAAAGTTTCGTCGCGCATATATTTTTTTCTACTAGTGTGTATGGATTTCATTTCGACCATGCTAAAAAACAACCTAGAGGTACTCAGTACTACAGTCTAATGGTATTCATGTTCACTTGTAAGTGAGAGGTCTTAGGTTCGATTCTCGCCAAAGGCGAATTTGAACCACATATAGCTAGCCTATTGAGAGTTTAAGTTCATCCCCCTCTTCTTTAGTGTAGATAATATTATTTGTTAAAAAACAAAAAAAACAAAACAAAAAAATAAAAAATTAACTTCGAGGTCACAACCCATGCCCCGCAACCACTCACCCTAGTCCATTGTCCTCAGCCGTTGCCATTATTAAAAAAAATGAAAATTAAATTATTAAAAGATATCCTTACCTATAGTCACTCCCGTGTCGTTTTCTTTAACTTCCCAAATATTCACCTTGAAAATGCTCGACCAACAAAACAATAAAGCACCTTGAAAATGCAAAGCCCCTGCATGCAGTATATATAAACCAAACTATTAGGTACCCAAAGGCAGTGGCGAAGCCCGGAATTGACAGGGGGAGGGGCGAAGTTAAAAGAGTGCAAGGTTCAAAAGAATAGCAACAACCAAATCATTTTATATAGTAATGTCTTCCATAATTTATCAACATAAACAAATTACAATTGTTGCCGATGACGTTTCATACCATGAAAATGTCGCATAATAGGCTCATTATCAATAAAAGCAAATACATCTCTCTCTATGTAAACAAGCATGCTATCACTCAACCATTGATCTCCCATTTTGTTACGCAATGGTGTTTTCACAATCTTCATAGCAAAAAAAGCTTTCTCCACCGAAGCGGTTGCAACCGGTAACACCAAAGCCAATGTAAGAAGCTTATACACTAATATGTAGCTTGCACACCTCCCAGTCTTCACCAACTCCTTTGCAAGATCACCAATTCCTCTCAATGATGAAAACTCACTATGCATCTTCATATCGTGAATGTAACTGTCAAGTTGAATTGGAAGATTCATGAGGTCCATACGATCAAAATCTTGAGGATAAAGTTGAGCTAGACGAACAATTTTTGCTTTGTCAAAAGATGCAAAATTATTCACCGGACTCAAACATGCCATACAAAGAAGCAACTCGGTGTTTACCTCATTGAAGCGATCATTCAATTCCTTTAATTGTGTATCAAGGACTTGAAAATAGAGGTCCACACGATAGTAATGGAAGTTTGTGAGTCTTGGAGCTTTACACCTTGATTTTCCAGGTACAAAATGCAAATCCTCCATGTTAGGAACGACAATATCATGCTCTTGACAAAACTTTTGTACATCATTAAGCAAGTCCCCAAAGTCATCATCTCTCAAGGATTGTAGTCTTTGCTTGCATACTTCCACTAACGCCATTGCATTCACAATATCTTGATATTTCTTTTGTAATGCTTGTGATAACTCATTTGTAACTCCCAATATGAGTCTCATAAAAAAAAGGTGAAACACAAAATCAAAAGTTTGTATGTTATGGAATAAATGACTTGTTTCACCAAAATTGTCTTGGTTGGTATCATCTTTAATCCATTCAAGCACCTCCACCACGGCTTCAAACATGACAATAATACTAACTATAGTACCATAATGTGAGTTCCAACGTGTATCACAAGGACGCATGAGACTATTCTCTTGATTTAACCCTATACCCGTTTCAAGATAACCAATATCAAGAGCTTTCTTAATTTGTTCTTGTTGTATCTCTCTAAATGCATCACGACGCTTACACGATAATCCAATTGTATTGACCAAAATACTAGCATTGTTGAAGAAAATGGCGACACCCCCTCAATTCCCTTTGTAACGGCTACAAGAGCTAGTTGAAGTTGGTGTGCAAAACAATGAACATAAAATGCTTGAGGATATTTGTTTAAAATCTTTGTTTTAAGGCCATTTAGCTCACCTTTCATATTACTAGCTCCATCATAGCTCTGTCCTCGTAACTTGGACATACTCAAATTTGTTGTAGCAAAGAATCTCTCAATAGCCTCTTCAAGCGAGCTACTAGTTGTAGAGAAGACATGTTGCACACCCAAAAACTTTTCAATTGCTTCTCCTTTTTTGTTCACATAACACAATACCACCGCCATTTGCTCTTTAGTTGAAGAGTCACGTGATCCATCAACCAAAAGAGAAAAAAAATCACCTTCCATATCTTTAGTGATTGCATTTATAGTTTCAATGGCACAAGCACGGACAAGATCTTTTTGAATATCAGAAGAAGTATACTTAAGATTCTTGGGAGCATTCTCAAACACAACCTTCCTAACTTGCTCATTATGCTTGGAAAGAAAGTGCATAAGCTCCAAATAATTACCTCTATTGCTTGATTTCAACGATTCATCGTGACCACGAAAAGGCAAACCTTGTCCCAACAACCATCTTGTGCACTCAAGTGAGGCACTCAATAAAGTATGATAATTATTGCGAGCTTCATCGGTTTGCTTAATCACAAATGTTTCAATGTGTTGTTTTTGTGTCATCAAATCTCTAGCTTGTTGTACAGTTTTATTATGAAGACTTCCAACACCTCCCTCATGGGCTCGAAGATTTTCGGGTCCTTTCCTCCAATTTGTAAACCCTTTCTCAGTGAAGACATCATTTCCAGTGCCACCCATTTGATCAAAATCACATTTGAAAAGATAGCAATAACGACAAAATGCAGCATCCTTTGATATACTATACTCCAACCACTTAAACCTATCAAACCAACCGGTGATAAAACATCTTTTGTTGCTAACTTTTCTTGGCATAATGTGGTCTCTAGGTTGACAAGGATCATTTTGGAGATAGTGTCTACGAATTGCTTCACGATAATTAGGTGGATAATCAAGCATTCGACGTCTATATCCAGGGTCTGCATGAAGATTAGCCAATATCTCATCCAACTCAGTGGGCTCACTTTGTTGTGAACTACTCAGAATATTCAAAGGAGGACTTCTTATATTTGAAGGAGGAGGAGGATGACTACTTAGAATATTTGAAGGAGAAGGACTACCCGAAATGTTTGAAGGAGGATTTAAGCATTGTTTCTTATAGTACCGTTCCATTACGTAACTGTAAAATGGAAAGAAAAAAAAAATCTTAGACTCTTAATCCTATAGTCTATACTAATATGCATAATAACCCAAACCAACAATTCAATTAATCAATACCAATAAGCATATAAATTATTAAATAAATAAAAAAAATTCATTCAACTAATCATATGAATACAACTAATCAAAAATTCAAATTTTAAATTTTCACCCTAAAAAATAATTTCATAATTTCATATCAATCAATAATCATAGAATCATATCAATAATCAATAATCAATAACCATATTAGTGCATTACCATATGATTCTATACTAATTAAACAAAATTCGTATTAAATAATTAATTAGGGTTAGGGATTATAAATTTAGGAATTAAAAATTTACCTTTGAAATTGAAGGCTAGAAGTCGGCTTAGCGGCTGGAGTGGCTAGTGTTAGCAGCAAAAAGCCAACAGAAATCAGCCAATGGGGATTTATTTTCCGTTCCGTTGGGGTTGGGCGTTGGCTGCAGGCTCAGGCTGTTGAGATTTTGGGAGAAGCTTTGCACTCTCTCTCTCTGATTGGGGAAGGGAGAAATTTGGAATGGTAAAGCATGCGGGCTGACTAAGTGAAGGAATGAGGGACATGCGGTCCCCCCAATACATTATACATATATATTTTTTTGTTTTTTTTCAAACATTGAAAGTTTCACGTGGAGGGGCACTAATTTGAAAGACATGGAGGGGCTAACTTTGGGACATGTGGGCCAGATTTTAATTTTTTTATTAATTTAAAAGGAAAAAAAAGAACCCAGTGCTGCTGCACGCAGCAGCAAAAACCAGTTCACCGGTGCCAAAACAGAGATGGAGGGGCTGGGTTTTCCGGTGAGGGGAGGGGCGAAACCTCGGCTTCAGCTATGTTTTCCGGCGAGGGGAGGGGCGGTCGCCACTCCTCGTCCTCACGTGGCTTCGCCACTGCCCAAAGGCACATGTGATCTACTCTTTTTCATCAAAGTCCACCAAACCATCTTCATATAAACAGCTTCTAACCCACCTAAATCCTCTGCTTCTTACTTTTCCATGGCTGGCCTTCAATACAACTTCTTTCCCACTGACTTCCTCTACCCTCGTACTGCTCCTAAGTTGAGGACCTTAGAAAAAGCTACTGATCTTCCCCTGCAAACCACCAAAGCAGATCATGCAGCCAGCGACATTGAACAGCTCAAAATTCAACACCGTGGAGTTCAAGTAGTCAAGATTGCAAAATCTCCTCCTGTCATGCATGGTTGAATAGGAAAGGATTCGCCCCGTTCGATCATCGCTTACAAGAGCAGTCTTTGTGAATGCTGATACTGTTAGGGTTGTGAAGCTTGTAAAGATCAAGACCATGAACTTCAGGATTGGATTATTTATGGGGTTACCTTTTTTACCACTATGTAGTTACTTTGCTTGCTTGTCATCATGTATGATGTATAACATATATAATTAGTCTCGCTTTGTAACACCAAGGAGCTAGGTGGATGTTATATGAGTTAGTATCATCCAGAATATCTGTATGTTCAGATTATTGCTAGTGTACGAAGATCATTGGTGTCCATATCTTTTCCCTTTTTCCCCATTAGCTACAATTGAATTCAGAATTTTCGGATTTTAAGGCCGCCGTTTACTTTCCAATACGTATAAATGTATAATCTCTGACCAAACAAAAATTGTAATTTCTGCTACTGAGGATTAAAATAGAATTGTTTGTTCCTCTAAAATTATAAATATAAAAAAAGGAAAATTACATTAGAAAGATGTGTATATTCTCTCTAACTATAATATTCACCACTGTAAAAACTAATAAATGGTAAGATATTTTGCCTCTGCAGAATTGTTCATGGCAACAAATAATTAATTTAATATCACCCAGCACCAATGGTTGGTTAAGCATAAGAGCACAAAATAAATAATTGCAACCTATTATGTGATTGACGCTTTTTACTTTTTTTTTTTACCAATTTGATTGAGGTTTTAGGCAACTATTTTATGCTCACTTTTCTTTTTATTCAGCCATATATAACAAAGTTTTTTGGAAAAATAAAACATATTTAAGATTTATTTTTATCAAATATTTTATGCTTCAAAATCGTAGTGATGAAGTGTAAAACAAAATGTATTTTGACAACTGCTAGCCAGCAGAAATGGAAAGTGATCATGACTTGGAGGATGAGAATGGCTCCAATTATGAACGATATTTTTTAGCAGTAAACAAATAACCTCCCACTTGGTCAAAATTTTAAAAGGAGTAAGCTGACAATCTCTCTTCAAATTGTGTCACATAAAATTACTTGATTTAAATTGACGAAAATTGAACAAAGTAGTTTTGAATTTAATGACAAGATTGAACTTACCATTTTCTAATGTCCTCGAGTAATATTCACGTGGAGCAAGTGGCCCTCTACTATGGTAGTAGAGAAGAGTGTATACCACGACTTAAATTTGAAATCCGTTGGCTTACTAATCTAACATATAATCTAACAAAAAAAAGTAATAATTCACGTGGACAACTTGTAGCTGTCCAACTTCGCGGTAATATAGGCAGGGTCATTGCTCGACCTCACGTGGAAATAAACAAAATGAATTTCTGTTCAAAGTTCAACAGTTTCAAACATTCCCGGTCTATTTGACGTGCATAATTAATAAGAGAAAGAAGCATATACCATTGTGCCATGGCGTGCAGTCCACGAGGGCTGTTTGGTATTGGCTCGTGGCTAGCTGAATATGCGAATATGCCCGCGTTGAGAACAGAAAATAACTTTCTGCATTCAGCATACCACAGACTCTTCTTTCGTTTTCTCCTCTTTTTAGATTTTGAATAGTAGTTTCATTTTTATGTGGGGATGCACATATTTATATTTGTGAATAATGATTTGACCGAATAAAATTAACGATCTGGATCATTCCATTTACTAATTTTTATTTGACTTACCTAAAAAAATTATTTGAAAAGAATATCGTTTAATCATTCAAACATATGAAATAAGTAATTAATATGCTACTTTGTACCTATTCCATAATTAATTCTATACATTTGAATGACTTAATGATCTCCGATTAAAATGATTTTTTGTAGGGGTAGTCTTCGAGTGAATATTAAGAAATTGAACAGTTTTGATTATGAAATTTGTGCAGTCAATATACATTATTCGAAAGAGGGAATGAATTCATGTCTCATAGGGGGAATGCAAGTATTATCCTTAATTTTTCGTACTAGCATATACCCAATCATGTTCTCCTAGACATCAAAACCCAATAAAAATCGTGGTCACCTACAGTTTAATCTTAATTTAAAAGTAGAATTTTTGTTGTTATATTTTCTCTTTTATTATTAAATTAAGATTGAACGGTAAGTGATCACAATTTACTTGAACACTAAGGTTTAAGAGAACAGGACTCGTAGCATGCCAAACGCTTTGCTCTTAAGTCACCCTGCATGCTTGTTTAATTATTTGATATCAAGTCATCATGCATGCCTTGAAGTATATATGTTTGTTTTATTATTAGTGCAAAAATAGAATCTGTATTTGTTGTAACTAATAACTGGAAATTGATATACGAATCTCATCAGGAGTTATTCTTTTTTTTAATGTCAACTCATATCACAAGTTATTCCGGCACACCAAATTAGACGGAGTGCAGGTAGCTGTGCATTTTACATGCTCTTCCTTTTTTATCAGTTATTGATGAAGCATATAAGAGGGCACCGTACGTATCTCTATGAAGTTATCAAATCAGAAGGACCTTTTGACAAAATATTATTTCGAAAATATTATACTTGTGTGTAACAGTATTTAAGTTTTTACGCATTCAAAATTTCAAAATACACTTATACCCTATTTTTTCTTATTATGGAAACATGAAAATTTTTAAATTCAAAATAGTTTAATATAACAAAAGAACAATTGACCAAGTGACTATTTCCCACAATGGTGGAAATTAGTTGAGTCTTTGCATGACTGTGTGGGTTCGAACTCAATTGGTGGCTAGTCTAACATCTAATCTAAAAAAAATCTATTTACCGGGTCTTGAATTAGATCTGATAAGAATTTGATTTGATCTGAATCCAATGCTTATCGGAAATGGATCTACAAGTCATATATGATGATCTAGTGCAAATACAGATATCAATAAAGGTTGGTCTAGTTCGAATTCAATCCGTTTACAGGTCTACATATGTATCATCATTGTGGATCAAACTTTGATTTATTGGTACTTTGACAAATCTAGTATGGTCGTATTCCTCTCTTATAAGTTATATGTGAGAGGTTTAAAACTAACTTATATGACATGTCCATTATATAGTTCAACCCAAATCCCTTGGACCTTGATGTATAATACGGTTGTATAAAATATATAAAAAGCACCCAGAGGTCACAAAAGTTTTTTTATTTTTCTTTGCAAATTTGTACGAACCAATGAGCTAGCAACAACCATTGGCCAGAGTCCATAGTCTTCAGCCCATTGCATTATAAAAAAAACGGGTGGTTTCGTCTCTTATTACTATCGTAAACGGGTGGTTTCGTCTCTTATTACTATCGTATCTTTTTTCATTCCCCATATAAAGCACCTTGAAAAGTCGAAGCCCTTGCACCATTTATAGGTACCCAAAGGCAAAGGCCACCAAACCAATACCTTCATATAGCTTCTAATTTCTGCTTCCTGCATTTTCATGGCAGGCCTTCAATACAACTTCTTTCCCACTGACTTCTTCTACCCTCGTACTACTCCTCAGCCGATGATCTTAGAGCCAACTAACAAAGCTGCTACTCTTCCCCTCCAGACAACAAAAATAGAAGATGTCGCCGGCCACGTTGAACAGCTCAAGATTCAACACCGTGGAGTTAAAGTCGTCAAGATTGCAAAATCTCATCCTGCCATGCATAGTTGAATGTGCAAGGATTTGCCCGGTTCGGTCATCACTTTGTTCGATAAGGGCGGTCATCGTGAATGATGGTAGATGGAGTGCTGTGTTTTTACACATGCATCTCAAGTTCGAAACTATTTTCCTCTTGAATTATTGTAATAGCTTGGAACCTTCTCTCATTCCTTTAATAATAATAATAAATTTTAAAAAGTGAATGCTGACACTCTTAGGGCTTGTGAAGCTTGTGAATATCGAATCTCATTTTATTCTTTTTTGTATGAAACTATGAAAGGAGAGAATGAACGTATCTCAATTAAGTTAATATCAAATCAAAGGACCTTTTTTTACCAAAAAATAAAAATACAAAGAACTTTTTTTTATGAAAAGTTTTTTTTTTATATGCAGATTTACTGTATCTTTGTGAAAACCATATACGTGGTTGGGTGAACAATTGTGGTAAAATTTTGGCCTCCCACCATACCAATTTTATTATCCATAATCCAAGTAAAACAAAAATTACAATTATTCTGATAGGATCCTGGATATCATGAATTGGTATATGTTTGTACCATACTTAACCAATCCCGAAACTACTGAGCACTAGTCAACCTTATATCGTCAAAGACCCAGAAGAGTTTCCTTTCAACCAGGAGGCCAATCACAGCACGACACATGTCGACATCAGAAGCCAATCATAGTGCGGCACGTGTCAACATCGGAAGC